ACACACACACACACACACACACACATACACACACACACAAAGTCACTTGATTAACTAGTCGTAACGTATGGCACGAGATCATTTCTCAAGTACATATGTATTTTTTTGTAATCGATTGATTTAGGCAAAGTTTATTTTCGTATTACTTTATTCTGGTTTTCCTTCTTGTTATCTTTATTATTTCTGTTTTTTACATCATCGATTAACCTGTGTTTGTGTCAATTAAACTCAACTTAATACTCAGAAATTATTATGCTACAGTAAATTGTTCAGAACTGTCTTACTATCAAAATCTTAAAGTAAAACACCGCCAATACTCGGCCCTTTTTTGTTAGATTGAGTAGTTATGTATAAGGGGGAAAAGTATATATTAAAATAAACGTACCTATTATGAAAATAAACAACTTAAGAAATTTGCTTTGTATACATTATACAAGTAAGATTACGCAAAACCACACACACAACATACATTCTACAATATTTCAGACAAGTCTGGCCAAAATGATAGATTTTAAAAGTGAAGCAAAGTAAACATGTTAAACAAAGAAAAATAGCTTCGTGGAAAGAACAACAACGGCAAAGCTACATCAAAAAAGGTTCCACATTGATTGGAAAGTAAAGTTAAGTTCGTCATCGGGTTACGTTAAAAATGTGTATTTGTACATTAAACATAAAGTGTCTTCCGTTGGTAAGTACTTTTGTCGTTTGCTTATGCATTAAAAAAATAGCCCTTATCGTGTAACTTTGATTCAATAATGTAACTTTCTTTTCTGAATAATCAATCTTGTGCCATAATAAGCTGAAGACCATACTTTTGCATACTGCATAACACATAAGTATATCCATCACTTGGCACTATCTAGACCGAGAAATAAAAGTAGAAAACTTTGAGTGATTTGATTTTGTTTATACGTTATGCAAAAATCCGTTGTTTGGCTCAAAGAAAGTACACTAAAAGAGTCGTTTCCTGGCTTTTCTCTGCTAAACTTTGCATACATAAGGAACATTTGCAGAGTAACATAATCACATCCTTGCGTTTAATTGATAGTTATATGAAGACAATCGGCAGGACGCAAACGCAATGTAAGATGCAAATACATGTATATAAGTGTGTTTACACGTAAACTTATTACATTTAATAACATAGAGCAAAAAATTAAGGGGAAGGTAGAATAATAAAAACCTTGTAATGCACCAACAAATGTATTTGTATTAAACTTAATTTAAATAAATATTTTTTAATGAACACACATAATAAACTTTAACTTATCGCTTAACATTTTATAACTACAAATAATTAATTAACACATGAATACTCATAAAACACTAAACAATCTTACATAATATAAATTCTTCTCTTAATGTTATACATTTACATATTTAATTACTATGAGTTTATTTAGCGTGTGATATGTATTCATATATTTATGTACACTATACATAAATATACACATACGTATCGACTCGCGTGTATACATGTAATATATTGTAATGAAAAAACGAGTTAAGTTTATAATCAACAAATTTATTACACATTAAAATCCGAAAAGTGTATGTATTTTCGATTTTAATCGTAATCAGCAGTGATTGTTATCATAAATTAAAACTCATTTAAACAGGAAATAGATAAAAAAGTGAATAACTACAAAGTAAAATCTTGTACCAAAAATCATTTGCTTACATGCAAAAAATACATCATAAAAAGAAAATTTTCCTCATGTGATTGTAAGTAAAAACATACTGGGGTCTAAAACGAATTATAGTTTGCATTTCACTTAGGAAACTACGACGCTTTTCACCTTTGTTTGTAATGGCATCGAGAACACGTGGATCCTAAAACAGATTACAAAATGTAGTTAATATAAAATTCTATGTACTTGTACATAAATTTGATTCAGATCTACACAAAACTATACTTCTAATAAATATAACAAAAACCTACTAGGTCATATATATAAAATAAGCTATTTCTGAAAAAAAGCAGGAAATGTAACGCACACTTCCACAAAAATATTATATATAATACTATTTGATATATACTGTCTTCAATTGTACTGATTTAAATTAAAATAATACGTTATATAATTTATACATACATTTACCACGTAATGTATATCCGACAGTTTATTTAAGAACACTTCGTTAGTAATCTGAAAAAATCATGGTGGTTTGTCAAGTAGTGCGATTTACTTATATTGTGTATTACCATTCACTTATTATATATGAGGTATAAGTTTCTTATATCACAAGAATTAAAAATATAAAATCCACAACACAACTACACATTTTTACACGTATAAATACATACGTATATATACATATATATAATATAAAAAAATTTGGGTTTACATATTTATCTACAAGAAAAAAGAAAGATTATATATCATACCATCGACAGGTCGTCATCGGAATATATGTTGTTAATAATACAATTTATTATTGCTAGTATGTTCACGTCTCTATCCAAACAAAATAACAGATGTACCGTTAATATGTAAACTTACTAATACAAAATAACATGAGACTATTACAAAATAACACTGTTTGATCCGAAACAGAAAAGGTAATGTAAAAAAATATGCACATTATGAAAAAGTAATATTCGTATGAAATTTACTGTATGAAACTTTATATGAAATGGACTGTATACAATTTCTTTTACATGTACAACAATCTTTTTACCTTCCTATTCCATATTGTAGACCGAATTGTACACTAAATAGCCCTAAATAAGTTTTTGACTGTAAAGCAAAAATAGTGAAAAGTAAACTAACAGTAACACTTTTTTTTGCATGTACAATATTATCACTATCACTGTTTTTGGCATGTAAACTACTTCCAGGTCTTGGTAACGAATTACGATCAAGAAAAGACAGGAAAGTATATAAATTCTCGTGATTTCTATAGCAAGGTAAAAATTCAAAGAAATCTTCTTCTTTTCCTTGTGTCTGGTATATGTTGAAAATTTTTTGCCACAAAGCAGATTTATCATAAGTGACAGTTTCTAACATTAATCCTTGGCAATATATCCATTTCTGCCAACTTGGCAAAACTCTGCAAGTAAAAAACCATATTATTTTCCTTAAACATATACTTATAACACTATTTACAAACTAATTCATTATTGCTATTCCATAGATTTTCTTTAAGCGTAAAAGTGTATTAAATCACATGTCAAAGACGCAAGAACAAAAAATATAAAATTAGTAGCAAGAAGACGTTTTTGTAACAAATACGGACGTCACCTTGCCATTGAAAAAGTAAAATAACGTACTTGTTTTGCGCAGGATTATTAAAATGCCACTCTAACATTCGATTAACATGTTCTTTGCACATTGAACCACCGAGAATGCATGTCCATTTTAAAACTTCATGATAGAATTGATTACTGACACTATTCTCCGACCAATGTGTATATGATTTATTATCAAGAAACCTATTCAATGTTGCCAAAAGTTTATCCTATAAAAGCAGGATATGTTTTTTAGTAACATATCTTGTGTAAATGCTTAAAATTTCTTCCTATTTAATTATTTAACGATAGTTTTGTATTCCTTATTGCTTCTAAGAAATGTTATATTATACTATTTGTGACACACATATTATTATAGAACATCCGTGTTTATTTTTTTCTAAATTATATGTATGTTTGTACAGATTACAGAATTCTTTTTTCATTTTCTATATCTATTCTATTGCTTATACTTTTTTTAAAAACATCTTTTTACCCACAAATATAAAATACTATTTGTTGTTCTACATAGCACACGTATATCATATTCTCTGAACTATATCATATTCTCTGTTAAAACAACAAATAATCTAACTTCATGTAAACAATACATCTGTATATACATGTATAAACATTTGTAATTCAAGAAATTACAGAGCTTTCTTCGTAGGTTCTTTGAAAAGAAAAAGTATACTGAGCACTAAGAATATAAATTGCAAAACAATCTTAGCAATGTTCTATTATTCGAAGAAACTTGTAAATCTTTAGGTTTACTTTCTCTGCAATATTTTGATAAATTACAATGTGCAAATTTTAAGTACAGAATCAATTCTTTGAAACCTTTAGTGATTTTTTTTTTTGCAGCTTTATGCAATGGTCTTTTGATTGGACATACTTCTATTTAAAAGTACCGTATACCAAAAGTGAAGATTTTGTCGGTCATTAATCAAGATTTCCATTTATTCATGCATTTTATCATATGTGATTTATGAGAATAAACAGTGACAAATATATTAAATTAATAATTTTGTGTCTACTTGCATATTCCTGTACTATATTGATATTATTTTACTTTTATGAAGTACTTTTACATGAAGTGTGAATATTGGTGAGCACTTATATATACATATTGTATACACATTATTATTGTATATACATATTACTTATATATCTATGTTATTTTTTGAACTATAATAATGCGCTTGTCTGAAGTCAGGTTTTTATGTTTATAATGTTGTATGTTCAATCTAATAGATATTGCCACGTGCTAGTTATATTGTATCATGTAGGTATATTTTAATACGTATTATTTAAGTATAATTTCTCTAAAATATATATTGTTTATGTTAGCAACTAAAGTAGCCCTAATACGAAATATATTTATATAAACAATCCGTAGTATATATATATCTTATAAATAAGTTAAGAAACTTTTTAACATTTAATTACCACGGTCCATGCCGCGTGGGTCGTATACGCTCCACTATAAACTTTCCGTTTAGGCCATATGCTCTTTTCGCTATTAAGTGTGACATTATCATAAAATATTTTCTAAAATCATATTGATGCCTAAATATCATATACAAGATACTTAGTACATCGTTAACATTTAAGTACTTTTTTCTTGATAATAATGATTTCTACAATCGTAGAAATATTATGAAACATATGTCATAAACAAAATTGGTAGTCTCCAAAGTGTAAGGCGCATACGACCCACGCGGCGTGAACAAAAAGTCATCGAAAATCGGACCAGCACGGAACGTGTTACTGATGACCTACTAAGTATTTAATTTCTTAGTGTACTGTAATCTTAGGTACCTTGATATTTCTGGAAAGGACTCTTTCTGGAAAAGGAAAAATCTTCGACATATGTTCAAGAGCAAAAAAGACAGGATACCACGCTATGTAGGAATTGTTTGCATGAAATATACTGCTTGCAAGTTCAAGATATATGTTAAAATCACTAATATCTGAAGAATTGTTGTTATATTCTGTATTTTGCACCAAAAAATAAAACGCATCGTCTAATATTTGTGCTACAGTAACATCAGATAAATAAGTGATCTTCAGATCAACAGTTTTTAAGAAAAAAGCAATGTTTGTCCAAGATTCACGGTCATATTTGACGCGATATCCTACAACAAATAAAGGTTTAGAAAAAGTGATAGTGAGAAACAAAGTAAAAGAAACTACTCCACAAAAATAGTGAATATTTTAAATACACTATATGTATAATAAAGAGATACTTGATAATTCACATGTATGTTATTACATTACCAGCGGAATCGGCGACAATGACAAACTCATTTTTATTACTCAGCGATAAACAGATATATTTTTTGTAAGGTGTTAGGATATCATTATACGTAACATTACTTTCTCTCTGTAGTATTTTTGTAATAGTCACAGGTATCCACCAATTTAGTTCGCACTGCTTTTTGTGATCAATAGTAAAACAGTCTATGACAGATATTGCTACCTGTGTATCATTGAGTCGTTTTACGAGTAACACAGGATAACCAAGTCCTGCTGTCCATGAAGTTATTATTCCGTTTATTATTTCTGTCGGAAAGTATGTGTTATTTAAGGACGCCTCAAAATTCCAATACCATAACTTATCAAGAACTGACAGGTCCTTATATGTGTTATTTGATACATCCTCACTGACAACAAGTATCGTTAAAAAAAATATTGTGTTAATGATTGCCATAAGACTCCGAAAAAAATATTTAATAATTGTAGTGCTGACTTACAACTACTTTAAAAAAAGATTAATTAAAAAAGGACAAATTACTCTATACTTTAATGATTTGTAAATACTTACGTGTTATAATATAAGTTTACGGCGTTTTTAAACAACGAAGTATATAAGAAATCTTGATGAAATAAAATACTAAACATATAAAAGGTGTTGAATGCTACAACATAATTTATAGTGTTAGGTGTTCACAGTTTATTCACAAAAATAGGTAAAGTAGTAACTATATAGTAGTAAAGAATAACTTTATATATTATAATGTTATTTTTTTGCACACACATAGAACTGTGATCGATATAAATATACTTTTATATCGATCTTTGAAAATGTTTGCCTACAATATAATATGATGAACATAACAATGACTATTTGACTTTTTACAATATATTCTGAAAATATTTACCACTATCTCATAGTGCTGTATCTATTACTTTGTAAATGTGAAGTTCAATAATTAAATGCACTCAAGAACTTTATTTCTCTTACCTTTTTCTCGCCACATTTTCCTAACGGTTGAATTTCGAGCTGTAAAAGAGTTTTCTTGAATTGCGAAACCATATCTACTAAATACTTCTGCATAATCCAAAAAGCTTCGTCGTGTCTGGACCACAATTGATGTTATTAAAAACTATCAACAGGTTTAATGATTATACGATTATGTAAGTATAGTGTATAAGTCTAATATACTAGTAATTTAAAGTTTTAGTCATATAAATCATGATGATATTTTTCATTAAAAAGATAAAACAAAGACAATAAATTAATAATAACACAATGATCAAGAAAATATATATGTAGATTAGTTTTTACACATTCACATAATCATATGTTTCTATGCTTTTCTAATATATTATATTGTGTATCTTTTTAGTATACTTAAAACAACTATAAATAGTACTACTGTTACTGAAACCGTTCTAAACTATGTCTATAAATATGACACATTTTCATTAAAAAAAATGTAATACTTTTGTTTACTTATCACATTTATATTTACGCACAATTATCTACAATAAAACGGCACAATATTAACCTTGTTCCAAATATAAACTCCATATACTGTTGAAAATCCTTCGACAAACCAAGAATCCGACTGTTTAAATGTAGCTAACCAATCACTGAATATTTCTTGTATCACACTTCGTGCTATGAAACATGTTACTTCTCTTTGTTTAATAATTGAATCTACTTCGCTGTTATATATACTGTTAACTTCACTGAAAATAAAACTAAAAATGTTACTGCAAGTACAGTCTTCTCGTACTTTAACAATGTTTTTTATAAGTTCATTTTTTTTGTATTGTGAGGTATGCATCTCACCTCAAAAAAACAAATCCAGGAGTTATCATACTTTCGTAACGAGTAGAGGTCATTGGAAGTAGAACGTAAGAAACATGTAATCGTGTTATGACATTGCCCCACATGTTTCTGAGAAGTGTGAAGATATCAAGAAGAAAAGTGCGTGCATAGTATGTATCATTTCTCATCTTTAAGCTGCTAGTAATGGTAACGTTATTTCCTATTTTCATAGTTGTGTTATATGCATTCGGTATAACAACAAATGCAACCAAATGCGTGGATATTAGAGGCGTGGTGAAAAATGTTGTATGAATCGCATTTATTACCGGACCACGGTATTTAATAGCCATGTTCGAAAGAGCTGTTTCATTGCGTTTGTGTATAATTTGAATGGTAAATCTAGCTTTGGTTGTTGAATGTTCCCAATATGGAAAAATCCACTCATTTGGAAAACGTGACAAAATCAGAAATCTATATAATAAACAGAAAATATTACAGTGATAGATAAATAGAGTATATAAGTATATTCCATTACATAAAGTACTAACTTAGTAGTAAAACGTTCTCAATTATATTTAAAAAGAAGAAATGTAGAGCTACTAAAATAAAATTCTATGTAATAAACTAAGACAAGTTTTATAGAAATATTTACTTTTAAAGGTTTTATAATATGAATTACTAAAATTAGTAAATGTAAACTACAGCATATAAATTAGTAGTATTATATCATGTCAACTAAGTAACTGTATGTTGCAATATTTAAAGTTATAAAAATCTATCAAATGATAGTTCGATAATGTTCTGTAAAAATAAATGTTGTCTATAAATGTGATTGTAGTACAATATTATTGCAGCAGTACAAAAATGATAGTATGTATAATAGCTTAGTATGTGCACTTACTCTTTCGTTTCAGTTTGATTTATGTACGGGTCGACCGTGACAACTTTCGTTAAATTACATTTATACATCGAAGTTATCACATATTTTCCAGATTTCACAGGTTTCTGCAGTTCCTTACGTGTAAATTTTGCATATTTAGGGATTCTCTTTATTTGTATGGGAGTAATATCCACAGTTTTGAATCGATTTTTGGTAGTATTTGACTGTGATACAGTGACTTCCCAATGTGATATATAATCATACAGAATTTCAGTTTCAACATACACATTTTGTATATAACAGTACCGTTCGATTTGTAATCGTATGTCTTTTTGTTCACATGACACGTGTAGCACAACAGTGGAATACACGGTAAGCGAAGTGTTCTGTTTTTCTAAAGAAATAGTATAATTGATCGGTTGTATACACTGCAATGTCCGAGACAAATTCGCGTCAGTGGAAGAAGCAACTACAGTGACAGTTATTAAGCATATTGCTCCGAAGACTATAAGCATCTGCGTAATGCGTATCTATAAAATTATTTTGCTTGTTAAACAAAAAGTACAGATACACATTAAAACGAAACTTTTACGCAAAACTTTATTATAAAACAACAGACCTTTGCAGAATCAAATACAAAAACAGCATTTATACATGTGTACCCGGGAGGAATATAAGTATGTTTTTCAGCAATAATCTCTTACTTCTATTACACATACACATCACACTATTTGTCACGATTGTGGTGTTCCAATCCGACATACACAATGACGGGTAAGACAACAAAGTATAAGGAACACAAGTAGAAAGAATAATTGTATACTACACGTTTTGCACTAAATTTGAGGTTATTTCAACAATTAAAATTAAGAAACTGTGATTCGGAAAACTGTTTACTTTAATTTTTAATGCGTTTGAAATTATACTGTGTGTATAACATTAAAAAAACTCTTTAAATAATCGTATGAATAGTATATGTAGTATTTACCATATTTAAAAAAATGGATCGTACCAATTTAGTAATTGTTTCTTTGCTCCTTTAGCACAAAAACAGTATAATACGCTTTAAAGATAATAAATTTATGATTTATGATATTCACGGGCCGATATTCGCATACGTTTAGAGACACAGAAAAAAAAACAATATTTTACGACAATTGAAATTTTCTAAAAAACAATATAAAGAAATAAAGACTTACCATCTTCTATATATAGTGGAGTTCGATGCATTAAAAATCTCGTCTAAGTATTACAAACTACTAGTACAAGATCGAAAACGTATCGTTTGCGCGATCTTAACTCTTCGGGAGATCTTCGAAAACTAAGAAACAATCGTTTCTGTGGAATAATACCTACATGTCGTGATGTACACATGTGTGTTAAGAAAATTGACCTTATTTTGTTCTCTTCTACGTACATATATGATGATAGAAGTAACGGTGTTAAATGTCTTTCACGGTTTAAACGTACAAATTCATATAATAATATAATGAAACTTATACAGATATTGTTTTAGTTTATCTTACGTACAAAAAGAAACAGGACAGTAAGAACACGTTCACAGTTGATTGTGTGTAAAAATTTAGTTTCTTTGGTGCGAAGTGAATTACAAACTGTTTCGTTTGAGGTATTCGATCTTTATCAAGCAATTGAATAAACAAATTAATGAGTGTCGTATCGATGGATTATGTACTTATACAAGTGTGTATTTACTTTCAATGATGGTCAAAGTTCTGTGGTCAAAACACAAAAATGTTATGTGTTCTGTGTGTTGACCACAAAAATTCGACGCCGATTGCGTGGTGACGTCACGTTCAGTGCTTTGTAAAATACCTTTCTTCAACATAAGATTCTTCGACTTATATGTTTTCTCTCTCTTTACTATGTCAATGCTTAAATTTCAGATTCAATAAAATACATTTCATATGTAGACAATCAAATGCAGTCGTGACTTTGTGATCAAGCATGGAATTAATTGCGAGCGCTAAATAACTGGTTTTTAGTACAATCATTTGTTGACAAGACCGTTAATAGGAAGTCGTGTGAGCTATCGGATGACTGCTGTATGAAATTTGCCTACGACTACAATACAACAATTTTTAACAAATTCTGATTCGGCATATCGCTCGCGAACTTTTGCGCTTAAAAACTTTAGAGTCAATATAATTGACTCTTGTGATGTTGCAACATATTTGTTGTTCTGAGAATTTTATTGTCTTTTACAAGAACTTTCTCTTTGGTCAACAATTGTAGAAAGTTTCTTTTCTTTTTTCCATTAAAAATGAGTAACAAAATTATCCAGTTATCATTTAACTTGTTTTAACGTATGCCGGGAGAACATTTGTGAAGTAGTACGTATTCATTTCGTTGTAATGGCTTTACTTAAACAACTTTTAGTTTTATGTTACTTCATTCCCTTGGTTTTTAATATTTTTGTTATTTCTGTTTTTTATATCATCAATTAAACTGCGTTGTTGTCAAGTAAACCCAACTTGGTACTAAGAGAAAATTACGCTCTACAGTATTACATTCAGAACTGTCTATCAGATCCTTAGAGTACAGCACTGCCGCTACTCTGCACTTTTTTGGTATAATAAGCCATGTATAAGATATATATAAAAAATAAATATATCTATAAAATTAGGGAAATTAAGGAATTTGCCCTTTATATAGTATAAATATAATTGTGCGCATCAGCACACACACAATCTACATCTTATTCATATATTAATATTTCAGACAAAACCCGGCTGAAATGCTGGATTTCAAAAAAGAAGCGAAGTGAAAACCTTGAAATAAGAAAAAGAGCATCTCGCAAGAGGCAACAGAAGCAAAGCTACATCGAGTATGCTAACACATTGATTGAACAGTATACTTACATATTATTGTCATCGGTTTACGTTGCTATTGTTTATTTGTACGTAAAACATAAAGTGTCCTATGTTGTTAAGTCAGTTTGTTAGTTGCTCATACGTAAAACAAACTATGGCGAATATTGTTTGACTTTGTCTCTATTCTATTATTTCTGTTATTGAATTATCACTCTTTCAAACGTGACATAATCGTAAAGGCTAAAACGCATACTGCATACTTCAAAAGAGTATCCACCACTCAGCACTTTCCAGAACAAGATGGAAGTGGAAAACTGATTGATTCTTTTTTGTTTATGCGTTATGCAAAAATTTGTTGTTTGGCTCGAAGAAAGTGCAATAACTGTCGTTTTCTGGCTTTCCTCCGCTAAAATTTGTGTACCATAATAAAGTAATTCAGAGTACCGTAATCACATCCCCGTTTCTACTTATTTGCGAGAAATCGGCAGAACGCAAATGCAATGGGAGACGCAAATGCATGATATATGTGTTCACACGTAATTTTATTGAACTTAATTGCATAGTCAAAACACTTAAGGACACGTTAAAAGTAATACAAAACATCTAGTGCAAATAACATTTTTATTTTATCTTCTTTAATAACTATCTTTTTTTAAAACAAACATAATAGCTTATAACTTATTACTTAACAGTTCGTAAATACTACTTATTAATTAACTTTATATTTATATTTGCATAACATTAAACGATATTACAGAATATAAATTTTTCTCTTACTGTCATTAATTTCTATACTTAGATACTGTGCGTTTAGTTAGCAATGTGTATATTCATATGTTTATGTGTGTGCTGTACATAAATATACATATACATATTCAATATATAAGTATTATTAATGACAAAACGTATTCATTTTATGAGTAACTCCTTATTACATATTAAAATCCAAAAAGTGTATTTCCGATTTTAATCATAATTAGCAAAGTTTGTTATCATAACTTATAACTTATTTAAACAAAGAAACTTACAAATGACGATACATTTAACTGGTAAATTCGTTTAACTAAAATCGTTTGTTTACATGCAAAAAAATCAGAAAAAAGAAACTTTATATTTTCATGTGTTTATAATTAAAAATATACTGGGGTCTATCACGGATTATAGGTTGCATTTTACTTAAAAAATTACGACGATATTCAACTTTTTCTTTAATGGCATCGAGAACATATGGTTCCTAAAATAGATTACAAAAAGTATTTCTAATAAAATCCTGTATACTTCTGCAAAACATTGATTAAGACAATATACAAAATATATTTTTAATTCACAATAAAAAATAAACTAACAGTGTACACCTAAAAAAGGCTATATCTAAAAAAAAACAAAAACTGTAACGCACACTTCCACAAAAATAAGTAAAGTAATAATTTAAAGAATTTACAACTACCTTTATCATGTATATACGCACCAATTTCTGTAAGAACATTTCGTTAGTAATCTGAAACAATAATGTGCTCTTATCACTTAGTGATTTATTTACATTGTGTAACCACAATCAATATTATATATTAAAAAGTTTGTTTGATATATTCCAAACAATTACGGATACAATTCACAGAAAAATTTTATATATCTTTACCAGAGTGACAACATTCGTGTATACAATATATATATATATACATATAACAAATAAATTTCGTTTTACATATTTATCTACTAGAATTAAGTAAAATCATACAACATACCTTTGACAAGTCGTAGTGTGAATATATGTTGTTAATAATACAATTTATTATTGATTGTATGTTCACGCCTCTGTTAGAACAAATAACACAAACATACAATTAGTATGTAACGTTACTAATAAACATTATAAAAAATTACGTAACACAACACTGTTTGTTCCGAAAATAATATACAAAAGGTAATATATAACTATGCAGATAATGTAAAATACATATTCGTATAAAATATTCTGTATGAAATTTTCTATACATATAGATCACTCTTTTTACCTTACTATTCCAGTTTGCAGTCCGAATCGTATATTATTTAGCACGGAAGTAGTTTTTGACTGCAAAGTAAATATAGTGAAAAGTACAGAAACAGTAACACTTTTCTCTGCATTTATAATATTTTCAGTAATATTTTTTTTTGTATTCGAACTATTTCCAGGTATTGATACAGTGTTACGATTAAAAAAATAGAGAAAATTATAAATGTCCTCAGGTTTTCTAGAGCAAGGCAAAAATTCTAAGAATCCTGTTTCTTTTCCTTGTGTCTGGTATATGTTAAAAATTTTTTGCCACAACGCAGATTTATCATAAGCGACCATTTCTAACATTAATCCTTGGCAATATATCCATTTCTGCCAACTTGGCAAAAGTCTGCAAGTAAAAAACCATATTATTTCACTTCAACATATATAACGAGTGAGATTCAGATGCGCACAGAAACAATCGAACATGCAAGATGTGTCAATCGGACACAGTTTTAATCGGATACAATCACAATTGGACACAGTTTCAATCGGATACAAGACAATGTTAATCGGACACATTCTCCATCGGATACACTAGTATTAAATCAAACTTGTTTATTTTATGTGTTTTTTGTTTGAGTTGTGAGAATGCAGACAAAGGTGACTGCGCCCTCTCTGTTCCCTCTAAAAAAAATCAAACCTAACCCTACCCTGTGTTCCTATAATATTAATAGGAATGAGTGAGATTTTTGCGAGAAGGGTGCAGGAAAAGAAGGTCAAGTTAGGTTAGGTTAGGTTAGGTTAGTTTTTGGAGGCTACACGTTTACAACACGAACAAACCAATATAAAAGACATAAAGTAAATGTATCTTAAATAAGGTCAATATGAAAGGAATAGTCTTGATTTAATACTAGTGTATCCGTTTGCAACTGTGTTCGATTGGGACTGTGTCCGATTGCGACTGTGTCTGAGTAAGTCCATCGTGTGTCCGTTTCTTATTGTGTCCGATTGATACACCCTGCCGTGTCAGTTTGATTCTGTGCGCATCTGGGTCCTCCCCTATATATCACTACATACAAACTAATTCATTAATGCTATTAGATTTACTTTTTAAGCGTAAAAATATAATAAATCACATGTCAAAGACGCAAGTACAGAAAATAAGTCCAATAGCAAGACGACGTCTTTGTAACGTTAACGGACGTTACCTTGCTATTGAGACAGTAGAATAACGTACTTGTTTTGTGCAGGATTTTTAAAATGCCATTCTAATGTTCCATTAATAAGTGGTATGCATTTTAAATCACCGAGAATGCATGTCCATTTTAAAACTTCATGATAGAACTGATTATTGACACTATTTTCCGAATACTGTGTATATGATATATTATCAAAAAATCTATCCAATATTATCAGAAGCTTATCCTATAAAAGAAAAATATGGTTTATTGTAACATAGTGTAAATGCCTAAGGTTCCTCGATATGTAATTATTTAACTTTAAGTAAATTTAATTATACTTTAGGTTTTTCTAAATTATATGTATATTGGTAAAAACGATTCATTTTTTTATTTACTATTTATATCTATTGTTTATACTTATTTTTTTAAACTTTTTTGTACCCACAAATATCAAATACTATTTTATGTTTTACATAGCACACGAATATTATATTTTCTATAATGACAAAACAACACACAAATATTCTAGTCTCATGTAAACAATCCAGTTGTTTATACATTTATAAACATATAGTTATACCTTAAGAAATTACAGAGTTCTCCTTGTAAGTTATTTCGATAAACAATAAGTAGACTGTGCACTAAGGATAAATATTGCGAACAAATGTTAGAAAATCTATTATTTGAAGAAATTTTTAAATCATTAAGTTTAGTTTTTGCGATAGTTTAACAATTACAAACAGGTTTTATCTAAGCATCACTTTCTTTACAGAATTCTACTATGTTTGCGTTTTATAGTAAGCTTTCTATGTAGCTTTATATACTGTTTTTTTGATTGGACATATTTCCACCTAAGAATAACGTGTTACAAAAAAAACCTTTTGCCATCTATTAAACACGATTTCCAGTTACGTATTTATGCATTTTAGAGAAATGGTTTACGAGAACAAACGTTGACAACGACATTAAAACAATGTTTTTTTAATTCTTGGCATATTACTATATAATATTGAAACTATTTCACTTTCGTGAACTACTTTTACAGGAAGTGTGAGTACTATATAGCACTTTTATATGTTGTATTTTTCAAACTATAACGATATGTTTGTTAAACTTCGACTCTCTTTCTTAAGTTTATAACGTTTTCTGTTCAGTCTACTAGATATTACAACGTTCTATTTACATTTTATTATATATTTACATTCTAATATATATTCTTTAATTGATATATTGTTTATGATGTCGCCTAAAACAGCACTTTAATGCATACTATATATATAACCGTTCCGTAATATATATATATTATATGAATAACTTAAAAACCTTTTGCTATCAAGGTGATAATGACCTTCCAATTATTGAACTTCTTAGTCTAATGTAATCTTATTTACCTTGATATTTCTGGAAAGAATACTTTCTGGAAACGGAAAAATCTTGGACATGTTTTCAAGAGCAAAAAATATAGGATACCACATTATGTAGGAATTGTGTACACGAAATATATTGCTTGCAATTTTTAGATATATGTTTAGATCACTATTATCTGAAGTAGAATTGTCGTTATATTCTGTATTTTGCACCAAAAAATAGAAAGCATCGTCTAATATTTGTGCTACAGTGACATCATTTAAATCTGTAATCTTCAGATCACCAGTTTGTAAGGAAAAATCAATGTTCGTCCAAGATTCACGGTCATAGTTGACGCGATAACCTACAAAAAATGAAGGTTTAAAAATACTGATAGTGAGAAACAAAGGAAAAGAAACAATTACTCTACAAAAATAGTGAATATTTGTAATACACTATATGTATAATAAAGAGATACGTGATAATTCACATGTATGTTATTACATTACCAGCAGAATTCGCGACGATGACAAACTCATTTTTATTAAAAAGCGATAAAATAATATACTTTTTGTATGGTGTTAGGAGATCATAATACATAACAGTAACTTTTGTCCCCATTATTTTTGTAACAGTCACAGGTATCCACCAATTTAGTTCGCACTGCTGTTTGTGATCAACAGTAAAACAGTCTATGACAGATATTGCTACCTGTGTATCATTGACTCGTTTTACATATAACACAGGATAACCAACTTCTGCTGTCCATACAGTTAGTATTCTTTTTATGTATTTCGGAAAGTATGTAGCCTTATTTAAGGACGCCTCAAAATTCCAGTACCATAGCTTATTGAGAATTGATAAGTCCTTATATATGTTATCTGATATTGTGTCACTTGACAAAAAATAACGTAATAAAAAATATAGTACTAAAGGTTGTCATAAATCTCAAAAAAAAAAATGATTGTTGTGATAACTTTATGAGTAGTGCAAACATCGTTTAAGTAAAAATTGTCAAACATCTGTGTACTCTAATGATTGTGTAAATACTTACGTGTTATAATATAAGTTTACGGCCTGTTTAAACATAGAAGTATATAAGAAATCTTCTTCAACGAAGATATGACTAAGCATATAAAAGATGCCGAATGCTACAAGAAAGTTTAAAATGTTAAAGGTTTCGAAATTTAGAAACAAATCTATGTATAGTAAATAAAATGTAGTAATACGTAATAACTACATAACATATTGTTATATTTTTTACCACACATAAAATTGTGTAACTGTACTTTATATCACATTTTAAAAATGTTTGCCTACAATATAGAGATACCATGATAGAGATACCACTGACAATTTTTATACTTTTTATAGTACATTCTGGAGATATATACAACTATCTCATAGTGCTGTTATTATGTGACCATTCATTAATTAAATGTACTCGAAAACTTTATTTCCCTTACCTCTTTCTCGCCACATTTTCCTAACAGTTGAATTTCGAGCTGTACAAGATTTTTCTTGAATTGCAAAATCATATGTACTAAATGCTTCTGCATAATCCAAAACGTTTCGTCGTGTCTGGACCACAATTGACTTCATTAAACTCTATCAACAGTTTTAATAATTATACGAGTATATAAGTATAGTGCGTTAGTATCTACTATTATAAAGTATTAAAGTTTTCATAGAAATCGCAATGATATTTTTCAATAAACAACCAAATAAACAAAAGTAGTAATATCACAATAATCAAGAAAACATATGTACATTATTTCCTACACATTCACATACACAGTTTGTCCGGAAAGTTCCCGGACTGATTTTTTCTAGCGCGGGTAAGCGGCGCTATCGAGCGGTCAACGCTGGAACTACTTAGT